CGACGGCAAAGTGGGACGACTTTTAGGTTGAGACGAAACAAGCCCCCACCCCTAGCCCATTCCCCCCTGGCTCATTGCGATTTCCGAAAAGCAGGGGTCCGTAACGTACCAAAATTTTACGTTACACAGTAAAAGTTACGCGTTACGTGACCGTACCGTAACCATGTACCGCTTAGAGTGCAGTACCGTTACACGCCGCGTACCGGTTATGAGTTACTATGAGATCGTAACGCACGCGGAAGTAACGGTACGCAAAACTAAAACTGGTACGGTACGGAGTTACTAATAGTCGTTACTTTGGATCCGTTACCGTACCATATTTTAGTGAATAACGTTACGTTTCGGCAATAGCGGACCCGTTCCAAAAAAATAACGGTACAGGTGTATGCGTACATTTGTGCGACTATTGTACCGTTACTGTATCAATGAGTAAAACACCGTTACATAGCAGATTCTCTCAAAATTTTGCATCAAATCCTAACTTTCGATACCCTCTTCCCTTTTTCCCCTTAATGCGCCCCTGTTAGCGCCCATACGCGGAAATTCTCGAATCCGAATAAGTAGCGAAGTACGCGTGTGGGGTGAAGTTCAACTGCATTTCGGTACCATTCTGCGTTGGATAAAAGTACGGATGAACAGTTGTGTATTTCATTCGCGTCTCTTCCCTCTCACTTCGGATTCGGGGTCGGGGTGTGGAATGGGAGGGGGGGGGGGATGATGCCCCACTGCCGTCCGTAGGTTGAGAGCCCACAAGCGAGCACCCGGGCAGGAGGAAGAATGGACTTGAGCATCAGCCTACGATCGCGTTTAGAGACTGGCTGGACCATCCAACGCTCGCGCGACCATTTCGTGACGGTGGGTTAACTAAACCCAGTCGCGGTTGCATATCAACTCGAGAGATATGGCAGGGTTAGTTCGAGCCGGCCCCCGCGAGGGTGCGTGCCACCGTCGTCCCTTTCCGACGGCGGTGGCACGCACTCTCGCGGTGGCCAGCTCGAACTAACCCTGCCATATCTCTCGAGTTGATACCGAACCGGGGTTCGGCGTAGTCCACCATTCGTCCAACTATCGTCACGCGAGCCTGGTGGATGGTGAAGCTGACGATGTTCTACCGGCCCGGCCTGAGTTCGTCTTGAGCCTCTCGGACGATGTAAATCAATTTTGATCTCGGGTCTAAGCTACTAAGCTGATTCCGACACCGCAACACACTTGCGGCGCAGAAACCTCCAGATTCCTGTAACCATCTATCCATCGAACGTAGATGTGCAGAGGTGCCCTCAACCTGGTGCCAGGCCTGGTGCCGGGTAATAGTCTCAGAGGTCGGCATGGCGCCTGCTAAACGCTCCGTAGGCCGACCCGCCGCGCCGAGAAGCATGCTAGTTTTCGTTTCGTTACGCTGGGGATCTGTACCGGTACTGTACTTCTATAATTAGTGTAACGTTATTCCCATACCGGGTACCTGTAACGCGAGTCCTCGTTGTACCGGTACAACGATGAGGTCCAGGTGTAACGTTAATGTTCATAGCGGTACGTGTAACGCGTTACATTTTTGGGAACGGTACTCAGAGCTGTTACAATAGATTCGGTACAGATAAATAACTCAGTAGTAACGGTACATTAGTAATGTAACGACGGTATGTAACGCAGTCCTCTGGTACTCCAAAAATGTACCGCGTAACGCAATTTCGGTACGTTACGGACCCCTGCCGAAAAGTGGCGCGCGTCCCAGACCGCGATGCGACACGTTATTCGTTGACGTTCGCGCGATCGAATCGACACGAATCGATCTTAAAATTCTGGCTTGGAGTGCGGGCCCAGCCGGCGGCGCCTCGGCGAGCACTGGCCGCGCAGCCGGGTCGCCCGGCCCGCCTTGTAGGACCTGCTGCAGCCCGGCCCCGGGGCCGCCGCTCCTCTCTAGCGTGCGAGATAAAGATAAGGGGGGCTTTGAGGCTCGCCGACCAGAGACCAGCCCGCCCAGCCGTCGGGGCCCGGGCAGGGCTGGGCTCGGCCCCGCCGGGGGTCCCGGACACGGTGGCGACGACATGGGGGCGTTAGCGAGGACGGTAGTATGGTGTCCCCATTGACGCCGAGCTGCCGCCGGCCGGCCGGCTGGTGTGGGAGTGGAGGGCCACGCCACGCCCCGGCCGTCGTCAACGTGCTGCTTGTTTGCAGAAGGGACCGGCCCGACGACGGCCGGGTGGCGGGCAACCTGGCGCCCGGGCTATGGGGCGGGGCGCCGGACGGAAAAGTCAGAATGAGTGCGAGTAAGACAAAGGGAGGCCTGTCTGGACCCTAGTGTGTGGTGATGCTGCGAGAGAGAGGGGGGTGGTTGGGGGAGACGTCTGCCACTAATTACACTTGTTGTATAATATCCGACTAAGCGAAGTAGTAGCACTCCAGTGACTGACCGACACTTATTGGTGGGGTGGGCCGGGCCCGACGCCAGACGAGCTCGACAGCCTGTCGCTAATGCTTTTACCGTCGCAATTACCCGAGGTTCTTCTCGCCGTGCGCGCGAGCTGAGGGAGATATTGTTTCGTCGCCACGAGCTTAAGGTGTGGCGCGGCGGCGCTCGCTTCTGACTCGAGCAGGAGAGTGGTTCGGTGGCGCCAGCCAAACCAAAACCAATCCCCCGCCGGAGCTACACAGTAACTACACGTCGTCCGGGGCAGATAGAGGCCGATAGGGATAACTCCAAAGCATGCACGCCGCCGCGCGGTCGGCGCACGGTAGCAAAAGTGGGTGCGATAATGAAGAAAGAGACTCGGGAGGGAGGCAGGTTGCAGTAGCCGCGGCGAGGCTGAGCAGGAAGAAGCCGCGGTGCGCAGGCGACTTGTTGGCGCGTCGTCGTAGGAGGAGAGAGAGGAGAGGATCGCCGCCACCACCACCACCCTCCTCCTCCATAAGCACCCTATGGTCTTTCCTTGCTCCGAGCTCGTCTCCTTGCTCCTGCTGCCCTAATAAAGGTCGCCTCCCTCAAAGAAAGGCACTTTGTCATCGCAGCAGTGCTCAGTAGCTCCGGAGGAGAAGGAGGAGGAGGACGAGGACCCCGCCGACGACACCGGGGGGGTCATCTCGTCTCCGTCACCCGGAAGAGAGCTCGGCAAAGGAAGCTGCCGCGGCGGGAGGCAAGGGCAGGGCTAGCCACTTGTGTCTTAGCGCCAGCATCTGGCGCCATGGCGCCTCTAGGCGAGACGGGTGGAGGAGGAGGGGGTCGGGGGGTGGTGAGGTTCGCCCTTGTAAACTGCCGCTAACAGGACCTGTCGCCACGTCGTCGTCGTCGGCGGCGCCCGCCGATTGTGCGAGTGAGGTGGTGGCTGGAGCGCAAGTGGATTAGAGAGAGTGAGTGAGAGAGAGGGAGAGGTGAGGTATAGGCCCTTATCTCTCTTTCTCTCTCTGCTCCCACAAGCTTCGCCACTGGGCGCGCCGCCGGACGGGCTTGGTGAGGGGGCGGGGACGGCGGGGCTTATCTCCCGTGTACCCTGCTGCAAATATAATTTACGCGCGGGGCCAAGGAGATAAATCAGCAAGGGCGGGGTGTGTAGGGGGGTCCTCGGGCGGGCGGACGGGCGGGCAGTCGGACCCGAGGGGGGCGGGGCCGCCGATTGGGCGCCCCAGCAGCAAAACGAGAGTGGATTCCGTGGTCCTGACGGCGGCGGCGGCCGACTGCTGGAGCCGCGCTGCTGCTGGGTCCCATGGGCCGGGGCCCGGGACCCCATACCCGGGACCGGAGGAGGAAGGTCGCCGAGTTCATAAAGGGGGCGGGGATGGAGTGAAGTGACGACTGGAAGTGCGTTTGCGCAGTCATAGCGATAAAACACAGCGGGCCAAAGTGGTTATAATTGGGCTGCAAAATGGGACCAGAGCCGAAAGTGGGGGGGGGGTGAAGAGTGTTGGGTTGGTCAAATCCAAATCTCCGGTGCTCCCGATAGACTGATCGAGGGGAGAGTTTCGTGCGTCGTAGGTAGGACGGTGGTGGAGGCTGCTTGTTAAAAGTTTTGGTACCGATCGAAAAGGTTGCTCCGGCCGTTCGTCTACCCCCGACGGCACACAACAAGGAAAGCAAAACACACATACCAACTATCACACACACGCTCGCACGACCGTCTTGACTCGGGAATGTGCGAACAAGCATCAAGGCTAGTTTGTCGGGGAGGGAGGTGGTGTGGTGTGCTGGCGACAGAGCAGGGCCTGCGTGAAGAGAGGGACTCGGCGCGGCGGCGGGGCGACGGGGGCGCCACCGGGGCAGGCGCCAACCTAAATGCTCGACAAACAAGACCGTATGGGCTCCGGGCTCCGGGGCCCCGCCGGGCTCCTATCCACCCACTCCCCGAGGCACGACACGACGCGCCACGCCCCGCTCGTTTTAAAAATTGCACAACCGCCGTGGTTTTTGCTCCGGCAAATGACACAAAACGGAGCCTCCCGTTATCGTTGCTGGCCGTATAAATTTACAAAAGTAAATAGGACAGTAACCGTTTTATTTCCCCGTGTTTGCGGGTAATACCTTTTAAGCCGCAGCCGTCTGCTTAAATATGAAGCCCGTGTCATATTTCTCTATAGTGACGTCTGCGCCGCACCAAGGTGAGAGCGAGAAAGAGAAGGAAAGTACTCGCGGACAGCTTTACGGGAGTTGGTGAAATAAAAAGGACTGCCGTTAAGAGCTAGCGTGGCGGGGCAGGGCGGAGCGGGGCGTGGCGGGGCGCCGGGCGACGGGACGCGACGAGGAGGCCCATTTGCATGTAGGCCACCCGCGTGGCACGAGAGTGCGGCGGTCGCCTGCACGACAGCAGAGGAGCAGCAGGAGCCACGCCGGATGGGGGCATATAAGAGGGAGGGAGGAAGGTGAAAGGTGGAAAAATGGAAATAGGGGATGAGGACTTTTCGATGTCCACCACGTATCCCCGCAGTCGCAGTCATGTGCAAAACGGGAGCAGGTCACAAACACTACGATTGCAAGTTGCTTCTAGATGTATCTCTAGAGCAGATGTGTTACTTACTTCTTTTCCCGCTTGCCGGCGCCCGTGTCGCGGAAGCCCTTTGCGAACGGGTTGTTGTCGATCTTGAGCTGGGTGATCTGGAAAGCAGAGAAAAGCCACTTGCTTTATTATCGCCTTGGCGCCGGGAGGAGGAGGAGAGTAGTTGTAGTAGCAGTCTTTAATGAGCACTGAGCAGAGCCCCCCC